CATGCAGTCCCCAGTTCTCTGTTGTTTTTTGTTGGGCCTGTTTGTGTTTGTTTGCTGTGTTGCCCACTTCTCAGTTGAACTGTTTTTGGACATTCAAAAGGTGAAACACATCCTGTGTCCCTCAATGGACGAGAATGAAATAAGGATTTTTGTACTCGAAATAAAATACTTTTCTTGGAGTCCAATGAAGGACACAGAAAAAAGAAAAGGCTAGTTGCACTCATTACCGGTATGACCCCGTGATCGGGGAGGGGTGCTCGGAATGACTGCGGATGGCGCTGCCAAATACAGATAATTGCAGAAACGTCACCAGCACACCAAATCCTTATAGGATCAAAGTTCGTAGATTTTATTGCAAACTCATGTCAGTTACACAAGCGCTTTCGGGGCCACACAGGGTCCCTTCATCAGGCATAGCAATGACACAATGATAAGAACAGAGAGGGTTTAAATAGACATAAAGCAGTGCAGACACACCCTTGGACACACCCCTGACGTCACATGACATCAAAAAAACCAAACAGCTGTGAACAATGGAGTCATTAGAAAGACAAGCTTCTATTCACCAATTTCAAGTGAAAGAGAAACCTAAGTATTGTTGCAAATTAATCATATCAAACCACATTATGTAAAGCATACACTTATACCAGGGAAAAAGGGGGTTATGTAAACAATCCAACATGTGCAGTGATTACCATAACTTTGCGAATGCAGATGCCGGGTTGCCATAGCGACAGGACACCGAGGTTCAGTGAGAGCAGAGGGACAGTCCACTGGCGCACGCGCCATGCGGTACAGGTATCATCCCGCCGCAATCATTGACGCTGCACTTACTAAAGCTATTGCTAAACACGCAGGATGCTCCACAACGCACAATGTGCAATTGAAGGAGATACTTTGTGTTTCTCATGAGACATTGTTCCTGTCACATTGTATACACCTACGGGTTTCAATTTGCCGCAAGCTGAGCATTCCTGTGCCATTGAGATCGGTTTCTTTTGTCTCAAAGTGTGGATCAATTTACAATTGTGCAATCTATTTATGGACCATCTGATGATCTGTGTTCACATGCAATCACTATACCGATTAATCCTGATAATCAAAAAGAGGAATTTCCTTGTATAGAGTGATAAAGTTAGTAACAACTAATCGTAGTGATTGCAACATTTAGAACAGTTTTGTTTCATCCTTCGACACAATATTTCGTATTTTGTGAATCCACATTAGCATCCACTTATCCCATCATTAACCAATTATTTATAGCCAAGCGTGGTACCCATCCTAGTTACATGTATGAATGAATGCAGACAATGTTACCTGTGTTGTTTTTTGGGTTTTTTTTAGTAACTTTTTGTAAGCTGTGCAGTGATGGTGTTTGTGTAATTTATGTACAAATAAACTTTTTTCTAATTTTTTAATATTTTGTCTGTCCCGATCTCTAAGTAACCTCTGTAGTTTGCTATTTCCTATATACTGCAGCAGACCAAATAGTTTTTTGCAACTCAATATTGAACCCTACGGAATAAGACTAGGATGCCATTAAAGTTCATGTGCATGGAAAGGCAGGTGTCCCAATACTTTTGGCAATATAGTGTGTGTATATATATATGTGTGTTTGTGTATGTATGTGTGTGTGGTCTATCTATCTATCTATCTGTCTGTCTGTCTGTCTGTCTGTCTATCTAAGCAGTTCTTTGTGTAAAACTTATCTGCAGTGCTATAAAATACTGATGTTTCAGTCATATCCAGGATATTTGTTTTGCTTTTTTTCATCAAGATAAGCTTTGCAAACAAAGTGCTTAAACAATTGGTTTGTTGGTAAAGTGTGCTTTGGAAAACACCCCTTTCCAGGTGTAAAAGTGAATCATTTATGATTAATTGTATATAAAATGCAGTTTGGAATGGATTGATGCAATATCAGTTGCTGCCTTCTTTACACCAGCCTATGGATCATGGTAGGCTAAAACTGCACCAATAAAATCAGCAAGCTTCATCTTCCTTTCTTTTTTTAATGTTTCCTTGTCAGATGAAACCACATCTGGTATGGATGCAGATACTCCTATGGTATGGTTTAGAAGTGGGACTGACTTATAAGAAAGAGGATAATAAAATCACTTGGCTGTGCCATTGGCCAAAATGTTAATTTAGGGCCGGTGCAGACCTGAGCGATTCAGGACGTGTGTCCCGTGACCGCATGGTTGTGCACAATTGCACACAGCGATTGCTGCGCAGCACCATTGATTTCAATGGGATACATCCGCAAAATAAGAAAATAATGGCACCGCCTGCACGATTGTCTGGCTGCAGGCGACTCCGTGACCGTGCGGCAATCTGCAGGGCATCGTGCACGATTGCTGTGTGGCTAGGGTTGCCACCTTTTCTTCAAGCGCAACCCGAACACTATAGCGATGCACAGACATTTTTTTATATCACAGTTGAGACTATTTTCAGTGGGGGGGGTCAGTAGCCCCTATATTAATTTTGGTTGCCCCTGTCTGCCTGACATCTTGTGTCCGGGTTTCTGCTGCCATGTAACCCGAACACAGCATTCATGTATCCTGGACAGGTGGCAACCCTACGTGTGGTCACGGATCGCCCAGGTGTGTACCTGGCCCAAACCAGGGCTACCTGACATAATTCTTTTGTACCTTTGCATAATCCTATAGTCACATATTCGCCTGTGCCAAATTTTGAAGTGCTGCACACAAGGCTTTGGACAAGCACCTTTTGGCATCTAATAAGAAATAATTTGCAGCTGGGAAATTCTCCTAGTTCTTTGCACAGTAAAGGTGCCCATACACCTTACAATTATCGGATGGTTTTCGTATGTGATCGACTTGTCGTCTGATAATCGTATGTGTGCATTGCCGCGTCCGACCGACATTACTGTACAATCGTACGACTTTTGACGGTCAAGCATGTTTGAAAACTTTGCTAGATCGTACGATTTTCGTAAGTTTGCTGGCGTTTCCGTCCGTCAAAAGTCGTACGATGTACACTGCGCTTGCGCTAACGAAAATAGGCAAATCAATTACCGCATTTCGTCCAGGTGCTTATCGTTAATTACGGCTAAATTAATCTTGCGATCATCGGGGCAGGATGGGGCTGCTGTCGTACGAAAATCGTACGACTATTCGATCATCGGGCGAAAAGTTTAGTCTGATAATCGTAAGGTGTATGGGCACCTTAAGAGATATCAGAGGTCATCTTGTTGTTTTGCTGTTTATATTTCATTGGCTTTCTTAGGAGTTGTGTATATAGAGGTTAACGGAGCTCTTAAGCACTGTTTGCTTTAGGCTTCATTTAGAAGTGGAGAAGAGGAGATGGACTCGTCTTCCAAAATCTGCTATTGATCTCTCTGAAGTGTAAATTAATTGTGCCTAATGGGAATGTTTTCGATTCTTAGGTTGCATGCTATGTATGTGCAACATTTTCTGTTCGGTGCGGGCCCGTTGCTCATAGTCTGGGATCTGCTTCCTTAAAAACTCCACCAATAAGATATTTGAGGAATGCTGTGTGGTTTTGCCATCTTGAAGCTTTTTCTGCATTACAGAATGAAATCCTGTTATGTTTCTTCCACACAGACTTTTGCACAGTTTGCATATTTTAAAAAAACGTCTTTAAAGGTAGGGCAGCCTTAGGGCAATTCATTTGAGGAGTGTCAAGAAACCTAAATAAAAACAATAAAAGGGTAAAATAGTAAGACATAAAGATAAATATTCTATTACAATAAAAGTTAAATACGTTGTATAAAATAATTGGTAATTAAGGTGCGAGTACAGACAGGCCTGTTGTGTTTCCAATGACTGGTTCACAGTGACTTGTTCTTTATACAACTAGTTTACGATCTTGATGTTGTTGTTGAATAGCAGGTGAGACTGACTTGGAGCTGGAGGAACTTCCCAGTCAAAAAATTAAATTTTCCCTTTCAGATCTCTTAAGCCGACTTCTTCATTGGCTCTATCTTGGTATTCATCTTGTTCTACTGGCTGCCATGCCCCACATTTTCTTACATCATTTCCCAACAGCCCCAAATCTTTGTCTGTAAAAAATGCTGAATATTTCTTCATCTGAGCACCTTCTATAGTAGTCCCACAGTAGAAAGATGCAGGGCAAGGAGCTATGTGAAAGGAGGCTGCAGTCCCACTGTGAGACAGTGGTCTGTTTATAAAACAAAATAGCTTATTCTTTCAGGAAAACTGCAGATAAATGTATTATTATGTGCAAGTTAACCAGCTGTTGTGAGAATGGAATGGTGCAACAACACCTGTACAAGTATTCTCTCTTCTGGTCGAAAAGTCTTCAATAGTAATTCAGTGATTCTCAACCAGTGTGCCGCAGCACACTGGTGTAGCACCTGAGTTTACCAGGGGTGTCATGCAAAAGGGAACCAAAAATTACACAAAAATGTATTACAGCCTGCACGTGAGAGGCACTGCACCACAACACAGTAAACTTCCGAGAACTTTTGACTTTTCTTTGATTTGCCAGGAGATGAGTGAAATGCAAGCCAGGGCATCCTGCTCAGCTCCTGGCAATCAGTGATGTCCGTGAGCTGGGCGGGACGCCGGCCCTAGCCTCACCGGGTGCTAAGAGCTAGCAACCTGGGATGCTATGGCTGGAATCCCAACGAGATGCTGCTTCATTATGGGGATGGTCCTGCTGACAGCGATCCTCATCGGGATAACTATTTCAGAAACAGAGGAAGATTGCCCCACGTTTTAATAGTTACTTTGGCCTGTTGGGTCAAGTCCAGCCCAATTCCTTGAATGATGGAAATATTTGTGGAGTTGCTTCTTCGGTGTAATTGTTGGACACAACTAGACAGCTATGTCTAGCTACCTGTTGTACATATTAGTCCTAGCCTTTTGTATGACGGACTAATACTCAGTCCACCAGTTCATTAGTAAAGGACTTTAAGAGTGTAACTTTGTTGCTCACCTCTTCATGACTAACATTTTGTAATCAGTTATATTTATTTTCTATTAGGCTGATCAAAAATGGACCAATTCCAGATGACACACAATGTCCTTGTTACCGATTATCAAGAAGAGGAAGATGAACCGTCATCGGAGGTGCTGCTTTAAGGAATATTTCATATCTATCAGGGAGTAGTTCGTAGGAGCCCAGATGCAGGGGACTTGCCAATACAAACGGTACCTCCACACGAGCTGACCTGGGTAATGCACGGTCTTTCATGTGGTGGTGACCAGCACAGGAGCAGTCCGGAACGTCGTAGGAAAATCGATATCCAAAGTCGTAGTCTGTGAGAGGAGCAGGGGTCAGGGGCCGTCAGCACGATTCGTGGTCAGGAAGTAGCAAGGTTCGGTACACAAGAAATATACTATAACTAATACGCTAGGCACTACGAAGGCAAGCTCTGCAATAACCAAGCACAGAATGATGTGTGAGGCTAGCATTTGTACCTGCTGAAATCAGGGTGCAGTCATCTCTGGAGGTGGGGTTGTTCCTTAATTGTCGAGCACTGTACCTTTAAGAAGACACACAGTGCGCGCGTTTTCACTACCCGGTGGCTCCATGCGACGGCCATCACAGTGCGGCGAGGAGTGAAGGAGACAGGAGCCGCTGAGCTTGGGGCTGCGGGTGAGAGCATGTCTGACCTGCAGGGACCCCCTTTGTGGTGCGAAGGTGGGTATTACAATATCTCATGTGCCTGCAATCACACAGTAAATGTAACAGTTCATAGTTGGGAATGGCTCCCATATTGGATTATATACTCAGTTTTATGGTTAGCGTGGGCTTAAAGGACAAGTCCAAGTAATTTTAACCCATCCTCCAGGCTGGGGTCAGGTTGTGTTGCTTAATTAAAGCAGAGAAAACTCTTGTATCTAGACAGGACTTAGATGATGATTATGCCATTTCATGAAACAAAAGTTATTTCTATGCTTTCCTATAGATATACCTCGGTGTATTATGGCAATCTGGACAGCTCGCTGCTGCCTATTACAACTCCGGTGACTGCTCTATTCACTTCATGACAGATACCCCGGACACTGAACACCTTCAAGTGCTTAGCAGAGGTAGGTTTTATTGCTGCACGGGTGGTTTTCATTGGGACCACAAAGCTCTAACCTTCTTTAACAGAAGAATCTATAATCACTACAAAACAGTTTAAATTGATAAATACAGTAAGCCCACCCAAATACAAACGGGTTCCGTTGTGAGAGCGCTTCCGTAAGTCCAATTTGTTCGTAAGTCCAACAAATATCCCACCCATCAACATGCTAATGCACTTTTAAGTGAAACCTTTCAGTGTTCCTTAGGGATGCATTGAAAACCGTTACTACGGTAGTATCAGCGCCGATACCAAGTATTTGGGCGAGTACCTATACTCGCCCAAATGCTCCGCTACCTTCCCTGATACTGGAACTTCCGGTCAGAGGAAAATGTCGCTTGTCAGGTCCTGCTCTGTTGAGAAAGTCAGTGAAAGTGCTAAATTGTAGATTTTAAGCTCCTCTCCAGCCACACGTATTTTTTCTGACCCAGGACACCGTCCCTCTCCTACGGCAACACTGCTTATGTCATTTTGCTGCACCTTGCTCCAGGGCTTCTGAATTTCTTTGTAAAAAGAAATGATGTCATCAGTCACTAACTAGAAGATCGTTCGGTTTGGCCAATGAGGGACTCTGCATCACATTAGGGCACCCTGCAGTGCCAGTGGGGGGTAGGAGTAGGCAGACCTGGGGTCACATTGCAACTAAATCAAGCAGTGCTGACTTGATCACATCAGTGCCGCATTGATTCTGATTGAGAAGTGGGTGTTGAGGCTACCAGTCGCTCCTGGCACAGAGAGTAGGCATGATTGAACAGCCTCCACAGCAGGAAGCTGAGACATCCATTCCCTTTAGGCAGCCTTTTATTATTATTTGCAGCACTTCAAAACACGAAGCTGTCTACTGCCATTGCTTGAAATTTGATTTCTGCCTGGAGATGAGATTTAAGGAATCCAGCAGATCCTAATTTTATAACCACAACTGGCAATTTGCAATTTGCTTCTAATGGCTTTCTCTATTCAGTTTGAGATGATTAAGAATTTTTACAAATTTTTGCCAATTCCTTCTGCCAGATAAAATACTTTGGGGCAGGGGCGTCCCGATGCTGGGTGACACCCGGAGCGGAGACCGGGTGACACCCCGCTTTGACATCATCGCGCATGCGCATGACGACGTCATCGCACATGCGCATGACGACGTCATCGCACATGCGCATGACGACGTCATCGCACATGCGTAGTCGTCTTAATGACGCCTGCCGGCGGCCATCTTGGTGATGGACGCCGGCAGAGAGAGGAGGGGACGTTCCCCTCCTGACACTGTCGGGCTCTCGGTCTGTGACCAAGTGCCCGACTTTTCAAAGGGGGTGACACCAAAATGACTGTCAGTCATTTTTGTGGCAACCGGGTGCGGGCTGCACCCCCCTAGCCCCCCTTATGACGCTACTGCTTTGCTATGAATTTACTAACACCGGAGCACCCTGTGCATGGAAACCAGTCAACTTCTATCCTCAGCTTCTTTAGTTAAGCTTTGAAAATGAAATCTAGAAGCTGATAGGTTGCCATCCATAGCTGCTCCATATTCTGTCTGCTCCGGTCTCAGTAATTCCCCCTCTATGTAAGTGCCTCAAAGAGGTTAAAGACTCAATCTGCTAGAGGTAGAACATGTTTTAGTTTCTAATAGAAGCCAGACTGAGTCAGCAAACAATGTGGTATGTAAGTAATGTCAGTCACAGTCATGAAATGTGCACATTCTGTGTATTATACGTCACATGATTCAATGTTCTTTCAGGCAGAGATTGGTCAAAGCTTAGAAAACGCATCGGTTACTGTTTCCTCGGGGTAGAGGGCTAAGCTTTATGTAAATACTCTATAGCCAAAGGAGTTCTTTGTTGTGACAGTGATTTATAATGTTTCTAGTACTATAAAACTAGATCAGGTTTCAGAAAGGACAAAATTCACCCTACTGAAGGTTTTGAAACTGAATGTGAATGTGATAAGCTAACTGCAGACATATGTTTGGTGCGTGTTAATAGTATAAAAACATTGTTTCTGATGGGGATAAGCTAATACAGCGATGCTGGCTGGCCTGAGCTGGTGATTCTCTGGATTTGGATTCTGAGGACTGGGGGAAGGGGATGTGACAGCAACCCTTCACCATGCTGATATCAGCTAGAGCAGGAGTGCCCACAATTTTTGTGTAAAGATCTACTTTTCAAATGACGAGCTACATGAGGTCTACCAACGGAAAAAAAAAAAACTCCCTCGCTTTCTCTCTCTTGGCTGTCTCTCCTTGCTCATCCTCCTGGCTGTCTCTCCTTGCTCATCCTCCTGGCTGTCTCTCCTCTCTCTCCTGGCTGTCATTCCTCGCTTTTCTCCTGGCTGTCTCTCCTCGCTCTCTCTCCCCTGGCTGTCTTTCCTCTCTCTCCTGTCTGTTTCTCCCCGCTCTCTTTCCTGGCTTACCTTGCTGTATTTTGTAACAGGCTGTGTAAAGTAATATTCTTTGATGTAATACATAGCACTTCAACCACCAGAATCCACCAGAAAGGTGTCAGGGAGCTTGGCTCAGCAGGCTAATAGATAATCATGTGTCACAGCTAAATATATATGCCAAAATGGAATAAAGGGCCCGCCATTCACACCCTTCATGATCTACCAGCATCCGCTTTGAGAGCTACTGGAAGATCACAATCAACCTAATGGGCACCCCTGAGCTGAAGACTACTTGATACACAACACATTTCTATACCATATTAACTTAACTCTGACCAGGCTTGCCTGAATCCAGTCCTTTCACTGTTCTCCAAGGCTGGCTTATTGCACATTGTTTTAGGTTGTCTGGCCATGAAGACCTTCTGGCATGAGTTGGTGGACTTACCCAGACCAAACAAAATTGTTTCCAGACCCAAAATGCATCCTAATGTATCCTTATGCTATTTTTGGCCTCTGTTCTCACCAGCGCAGTTCGTTCCAGACCAGACCAGAAAAATACTGCTTGTGCTATTTTGTCTGGTCTGGAACGCACTAGTAAGACCATGTTAAGCTAAAAAAAAGATTTCCAAACGCGGCAATCTGGTCCGCAAAATGGTGTGAACTTGCCCTTACTACCAACTTACTACAATTCCAAATCCTTGAGGGATTGTTCACACCATGTCCGGACCATGTCCAGACCAGAACAGTTTGTTCTCGGACCAAAAAAGCATCCCAATGTATCCCTATGGTATTTCTGGGCTCAGTTTGCACCAGCGCAGTCCATTCCAGTCCAGAAGACACTGCTTGTCTCATTTTCTCTGGTCTGGAATGCACTGGAACGCATGGAAACACATCAAAACCTCTGCCCCACCCGCCTGCCTCCTCTTCATTGCAGGCTGGGAGCCATACCCAGCCTGCTATTGGATATTGTAAAATGCAATAGCCAATAGCAAGCTGGCTATTGCACCCGCCCCCTGCCCGCTGTCAATCAGCATGGGGGGACCTGGTAGAGAACTTTCTCCTTCAGGCCCCTCCTATGCTGAGCCCTGATTGGGCAAAGTCTTGCACCTGACCTCTGGGGGACCTTGGTCGATACTGGGGGAACCTGGTACATACAGTACAGTGATCTTGATGAGCTGATTTCTTGTTGTCTTACATTGCTCAGCATCTTTATTTGGTATGTTGAGATGTGAGGACATATGTTTGTAAAGTCATTACATTGGATGTTATTGTGGTTGCCAGGCTGTTATTATGGCTGCAGAGCTGTGGCCGGCGGTTCAAGAATTGAAAATATAGTATTGATTTTTTTCCAAGCCACACTTCCTTAATAATATAGTCTGTTGTTTTCCTCTGTTATAAGGTAATGTTACGTAATGGAAATACATTCTTGTGGTTTTCAATGATAAAACATGTTCTGCTGTATTGGTTGCTGAACGAGTATGTTGAGGAAGAATTCTACTCATCCTTTAGATTAAATATTGGTGGGAAAGCATGGAAACAATTAACTAACAATTTTTTTGGGAGGGCTGCTGGGATTGTTTATATACGTCATCTCATGAAAACACTAGAAATAGTTATGACCCTGACACCTGTAAACAGTCAGACAAAGTTTTAAAGAGCATAAAGAAAATGAAGCCAGCCATACACCAAGTATAGTGGTTAGGACTTCTGCCTTGCAGAACTGGGGGTCCCTGGTTCAAATACCAGTGAGACTCAGGACACTATCTGAAAGGAGTTTGCTTGCCTACAGTTTCCTTCCCCACTCCAAAGACATATTGGCCTTGTGCCCTGTGTGCGAGAGGAACCTTAGATTGCTTGTTTTCATTTAGGTGCTCAAATATAATTTTTATACTCACCTGATCCTCAGAGAAAGCTTGCTCTTAGACCGGTCCTTCCAGCCTCTCTCCCCCTACGCTGCAGTGGTCTAAGAATCCTCGAGTCATCACGCCAAATACACTGTGTAAAGTACATGAGGACGCTGAGGGACATACCATCGCTTCAGCGGAGAAGGAGACAGGCTGGAGGGATTGCTGTGACAGCCGGCCGGATCCAAGCTTTAGGTGAGCATAACTTTTTTATTTTAGCACCTAGACGAAAACTTAAAGGAGAACTTCGAGGTGAGTGATTTTCACACATCCTCATAGTTAGAGCCGACTTGTGACAAAGGAGCTGTCACAGGTTAGCTCTATTGATTGGGAAGTGAGCGAACACATACTGTCGCTCGCTCACTTCCCGATCGTCTGCCTGCAGAGAACGGTGACTGTAAGTCACGGCTCCCCGCAGGGATTCCCCCCTCTCCTCTCCGATCCTCCAGCGCCGAGTGGAGGAACGTACGAGGAAAGGGGGCAGGTACAGCTGGCTCTGCCTCTAGATTGGCAGAGGCCGCTGTCAATCAGCCAGCTGGGTGGATCCAGACAGCATTGTTGGGATCCGACCCGGCTGCGGCGCTCTCAGTATATAGCGATCAATAGCCCGCTATATACTGAGCTTTGGGTCACGGGGGGAGGTTAGTTTAGGACCTCCCGTGACCCTAAAGAGAACTATGGGGGAAAAACACTTACCCCATAGTTCTCTCTTAACCCTTTGCAGTGAGGGGGAGGGGTAGCCCGGTTAATAAACGTTTTTCCCAGCCTTCTTCTTTCAGTAAAAAAGTGAAAATCCTCCTATATCTATATTCAGCATCCTGAAACTGACAAGCCAGCTGCAGTCATACACAGGGCTGGATTAAGACTCGGACGAGAAGCAGCAGAGGAGGCTCTCTAATTATTATTAATAAACCTGAGAGCTGCCGGTGCCTGTTCCTGATTGTGTTCAGCCCGGCCAGCCCGGATTGCCATCGGGCATATCAAGGTGACACGGGCCGGCTGGGCCTATTTTCAGTGGTGGGCCTGGATCTGGCGCTCTAATCGGCCATATGTTAATCCGGCCCTGGTCAAACAGTATGAAATATAAACTGCGTCACCGCAATACATCCAGAACAAAATTTCCTCTTTTTAGATTGTAAGCCCCCAGGGGCAGGGCCCTCCTTACCATCTTGTCTTGAATTGTGATTGTAATGTCTTCCTTATATTGTAAAGCGCTGCGCAAACTGCAGGCGCTATATAAATCTTGTATAATAATGTTACTAATAATAGCTGAAAGTTCTTTTTACACTTTAAGCTGGCCATAGACTGGATCCTGGATGAAATCGGAACAATGTGTGGCCCCCTTGGGACCCCCTGTCATTTGACAAAAGTTTCTTTTTCAATTGACTTTTGTTAAAGGAGGATGCCTGAAAAACCTCAGCCGAATAGTGACTGCAGCCAACCAATTGCAGTTACTGTTCTAGTATTCTCCGCTGTTGTCAGAAAACAATAGACTTATGGGGGGATATTCCTCCATCCGTTCTGTTAGCATGGGAGGGGGAACAAGGAAGACCCCACAATGTGTAGCCAGCCTTACTTTCTTTCTGAGCATATTCACAATGCGCTAGCTTGACTTCGCTTTATTCATAACACTCATGGCTGAAGTTGATTCATTTGATTTGTTTATAATATTTGTGAACAAACTTACATATATGTGAGTTGTAAATGTTTATAATGTTTCTAATTGCAGCAGGAAGGATCACCAGACAAACGCCTGAATTAAATATGCAGCCGACTTGTTAAACGTGTTATGCCAGAGATGGAAAAGCCTCTTTTGCAATCCTTATACGATGACTCCGCTCATACCATTGTTTGGTTTCCATTATTAGTTACGGCTGCTATTAGGTTGTGGAAGAAGAGTAATGTATATTAATGTCACCGCACACTTCAATAGGTGCTTATACAGAATGAGTAAATTGTGAATAATCACACGGGGGCCGGAGCACTTTTATAGCCCATCCCTATTTAGCTGTCTGATGACGCAGCTCTGGCTGCTGTACTTTGGTTAAATGCTCAGCTTGTTTGTGACTGAAAGGACACAATCCAAGAAACTATTTTTGGAAAAATAAAGATCCTTTTACTTACTTCATTGGTCTGCTATCTACCCAACCCTGACTCTCCTGTAATGGATAGAACATTCCATTATAGTCAGAGAAACAGACTTAGGGCTGGAGAACAAGTGAAATGTGAGCAGGAGCACCGATGCCCGAGCCGATGAATCGACCTATTGTGAGTACAGGGCAAGCCATAACCTGCATTGCAGCCTGTTATCCTTGATGGCTAGCTTCTGAATGCCACTTGCTGCAACACTGTATACTGCTATACCTTTTATAGGTGGGGGAGATGTCACATCAATGCCTCACAATGTTTTGCATTATAATAATTAAAAAAAAACATTTTCTTAAAGGATAAGTGCACTTTAAAATAAAGCGTACTTATAATTTTTGTCCCTCACAGCTGACCTAAACGATCCCACTTTCCCCCTCGGCAGATTTTTACTTACCGAGATCCAGCGGTCACAGTTCCACTATTGTTTACATCCAGCACTGCAATGCTTCCTCTGCTGGCCACACCTGCGCATTGTAGCCCCATAGACCTCTATGGGGCCTTTTCCCACCGGGAGACAGATGTGGCCAGGAAAGGAAGACTAGTTGCAACACTGTATGTCAACAAACATCAGAGTAGCAGCCCTTGGATCTCAGTAGGTATAAGGGGGAGGTGTTCTCTAGTGCTAACACACTTCTTGTCCTAGAATGGCAATGCTTCTGGGTCCATACAGTAGATACAGTACAATGAATGAGGGTTGTCACCCTAGGACAGGAAGTATATTTCTGGCAAGACCATCAGGTGAAAAGAAAGGAAGAAAATAATGCAGCCATCACATCTAAGGGGCGTTAAGCTTCGACATATTACATTTTTGTTCTTGTGTTTCGATATAATTTAAAGATGAACTCCGGCCTTCCCTTCCTTCTTGCAGAGTTGTACTGGCTCCTCTCCTGTAGTGAAAAAGCTTGCTTTAATTTTACTGCATGCTGTGATATGCTGTCATTACAGGCAGTCCCTGAGTTACAAACATCCAAGTTACATCCGACTCCTACTTACAAACAGAGGCTATTACTGTACATTAGGGGTCGTTGTAATGCTACCGCGTCCATGCTGACGAGGAGTGCCCGCCTTTTTGGGTCTGGTTCGTAGTACTGTACGTACATTACAGGAAGTTGGCTCTTGTTAGAAATGCAGATGAGGGGTGCCCGCCTCTTGTTCCGGGTCACTGTGAGCTTTTTACTGCGGTCTGTATCTTCATAAGAAAGATTTATTCTCACTTCCTGTCCTTGAGACAACAGGAAGTGAAAGGAAATCTACCTATAGGAAGGGAAATTCACTCCTTTAAAAGGTGTCTCCACTGAAGCTTTATCACCAATCTTTGCTTCCACGACAACCCAACATTTTCAAAATCCAATTGTCACAGGGACAAAAAGTGAGGTGAAATCTTCTGAACAGGGGCACACACAGCAAAACAAACATTACAGGGAGTAAACCCTTCCCTATGCTATCCAAAATGAAAAAACATTTTTTTGGCTGGATTTACACTTAAAAAATGTACCTGTTCCAACTTACATACAAATTCAATTTAAGAACAAACCTACAGAACCTAGCTTGTTCATAACCTGCCTGTATTATTTATTTAATTTATATTAAAATTGTATTATTGTTATTATTGATTGAATATATACTTCGTTTGAATTTTTTTTTAAACATGGCCGCAATAGCCGCACAATTTTTATGACCGATCAGCTATTCCCGCACATGCGCAGTGAGCCGATCACACATTGCACCGCGGTCAAACTTGGTGGGATTACGTTAGAACGCGTGACCACATCACCGGTGGTGGCAAACTTTGATAGAACATTGGGACGCACGTCCTGGGATCGCCAATATCTGAACCAAACCATTCGGCTTGCTGAGATTGTGATATTTTGGTGCTGTAGGCGGTGGAGAGGGACAATGTTTCTTATTACAAGACTAACACTGATCATCAGACAGATGCTACTATACCACATGTATATACACAGAAATAAACAAATATACTGGCATGGCTTTCTCATAATCCACACAACAAGAAAGGAAAGAATATGTTTGTTTTCTTTGCTAAAATTCTTGAAAAATATATAGCAGACCCTGCAGCTACCAATCAGCTATTGGTTGTTATAAATTCACTACATTACACGTTCTAATCATAGCGTCCTTAAAGCTGAACTCCGGGCAGAATTATTCTTAACCCTTGTAGTGGTGCTACCCCCACACTGAAAGGCTTACCTGCTTGTTTTGGTCTAGGGAGGAAAATAAAAAAAGATTATACTCATCCGATCCTCTGAGCCGGCTTGCTCAAAGACAGGTCCCTGCAGCCTCTCTTCCCCTCTAAGGTCCCATAAATCATCACGTTGTATACATTATGTATAGACTGCTGAGTAACCCTTGCGGTGCTCGAGCGTAGGAGAATACCGGAGAAGCAGGGAGTCGGCTCTGCAGTTCGGATGAGTATAACTTTTTTTGTTTTATCACCAAGACAAAAATGAGCACTTAACGCTCACAGTGTTGGGGTTGCCCCAGTGCAAGGGTTAAGAACACTTTTCTTATTTAAATAATAATATCAGCAGCTAGTGAAGTCCATAGACAGTGGGGGGAATTTATCAAAACTGGAGCAGATTTGCACAGCAACCAATCAGCTTCTGTCTTTCATTTTTAAATCTTACTTGGGCAAACCGGAGAGAGAAGCTTACTGGTTTCCATGCACAGCTGCTCCAGATTCTGTCGGCTCCAGTTTTGATAAATTCCCGGCATTATAGTTTTTTTTACAGCGTTGGGCAGGCAGAAGTGAGCCTTCCTCTCCTCTGAATATTACATTCTGTTATGTTATATATCCCTAACCTTTCATGTAACACTTTTTTTTCCCCAGTGATCTCTGATCTGCAACCAAAATGTATCGTAACCAGTGCAAAGCAGGATCCAAATTTCTCAGAATTCCTTCAAACTTTAAGTAATGTCGTTTTGTTTCTCTTTCTTATATTTCTTATTTGTTTTGTATACATTGTAAACATTCCTCCTTATATGAAACTAACACCCTGTCCCTGTAGAAGCTTTCATCTAATATCCTCTTCACTATCAGTTCTACTGGCTCTACTCACATGTCTTCCTTTTCCAGATGGCGAAGCTAATGGAAGATTGAAAGTGGAGATATTTCTATTTCCTCGTATGGACTTTGGTAATCAGCCTTACACAGCGCTCTGTTTGTATCCTCTGTCCGGATATAAAATGTCAGCCATTATCTGTTCTGTAGTCCCTCAAGCCAGAGGAGAGGAAGGATGATAACAGAACTTGTGATCTCTGGAGACAGAATAGAGGCTGCAAATTCTTCACACATTACTAGCAAGTTTGTGAAGACTTCTTATTATCCTTCACTAAACTGATTCTGATGAGGGATATCTGGACACTACTGGTAATGGTGCTTTATAAGAAAAGTATAATATCCAGAGGTGTCTGCACCTGCAATAGTTCTTATTTACCTCTGCTACGGCTGATTGCCGGCCATTGTGAACAGGCAGAGCTTGCCCGCTCCCTCCAGCTCCACCACATTCCTATTGACCAACGTGATAGACTAGTAGGTATGTGGTGGGGGTTTGAAGCTGTGGGTTTGCTCCCGCACTACCTAGAAGTGTGTCTGTTTAGGCCAGCAAGTGTTGTGGTTTGTCACCTGCACTCCATATGGGTGATCGAGGATCAGGTATATCTGCTTTATTCCATCCCCTAAAAAAAGTGTGCACTTAAAGGAGAATTATGGGGGTGAGTAATAAAACACCCAACCCCATAATGCATGTGTCAAAGAATCTGTCACAGGCCACCTCTATGGATCAGGAAGTTAGCGAACACACACCGCCAATCGCTGACTTCTCGATCATCTCTCTGAAGAGAGCGGTGACTTACCTGCAGGCGTTCCCTCCCCTCCCGATCCTCCAGCGCTGACTGGAGGGATGGACAGGGGCGAGGGGGCGGCCAGAGAGGGAGGCAGAGTTAGCTGTCAATCACCAGCAGGGTGGATCTCCACAGTATTGTTGGGATACGTTGCTGCGGCACTCTCAGCTATTGCCCGCTATATATTTAGTTTTGGGTCATGGGAGGACATTGGTATAAGTCTTCCTGTGACCCTAAAGAGAATTATGGGGGAAAAAGGTTACCCCCCACATGTTCCTACATAACATAAAAATGTAAAAATATCACACTAAGTGATACCAGGCAAATCTATGACTGAGAACAAAACATGAAGCCTGACTATTGCAGGTCATAGGTCCTCCTGCATTTTATAATGCAGCACCACTGTGTTTCTGTTGTTCCCTCTTAGTGACCAGACCCCTGCCCTGTAATGTTGTATTATATGAGCGAGGATTGATCGTCAGAATACTGATAATGAATTCCTATCTGTGTCATCCACAGCACTGCCTATCTGTAAGCAGCGGATCCTCACATCAAATTTCTCATTGCTGCCTTCTAACCTCTCTGAGTCCGAAAAGATTTTACATCTCTCCTCTATCATTCCCTTTGACTGCCCTCTTATGGTGAGACCGAAGAAATATTACTACCGCCAGATGTGTACTGTGTGGAGATCACAGCTACATCCACATGTATTTTGTGTAAATCTGTTGCAGATGATCGGCGTGCTTATTTTTTAATAAGTGGAGGTGCCACATCTTCTGACCAGCACTTCCAGTACACAGCGCTTAACCTGACAGTGACGTATGGATTAAACAGAACTCCTGGCAATTTAAAAAAAGAGAGACATTACATCCAATTACGCATTCATTAAAAATAACAGGTGGCCTTATCTTTCTCTGCTGCAGTTTCACTGTCAGTTACAAGTCTACAGCCGAGCCTGTGATGGGACAGTGAAAGGAGAAGCAGTATATTTAAAAGCTCATCATTTAGTCACTCTGCCCTCTCCTGCTATAAACATGCTCTTTTCAGAGGCTGATACCAAGTTCAGTTCAGATATTTACACTGCATGCAATAAAAAATTTATATTTAATGATGTATTCATGATTGCAGAGCTGCATTAATTTGTGCCTGGAGTTCCCATTTAAAATACTGCCAGTGAGACAGATAAAATCTTTTTTTAGATGTTGTTTTTACACTTCCTACTTTGTTTCTTCAGAAAGGCTGGGGCGGGGAGTATTACAGCAGTGTACAGCAAAGAGCAGCTAGTAATACCTGCAGCATTGTCGGGATCCGTCCTGGCTGCGGCGGTCTCAATATACCGCAAGCTGTAGCTCGCGATATACTGAGCTTTGGGTCATGGGAGGACACTAGAATATATCCTCCCGTGACCCTTAAGAGAACTATGGGGAAAAACGCTTACCCCATGGTTCTCTTTTAACCACTGCGTCACAATGCTATTGATTTGGTAGATTACCTGAGCTGCAGTCTTAGGGTGCCCATACACTGGTCTAATTTCACACAGTGTGTGGGGCTGTTGGCTCCCTTTCAGCCGGCATTCCTCGATCAGTTGATCGAAGGAGCCGGTTGGAAAATGTTCGATCGATCAGAGCGGGCAGCCAGTGAGTCAGCTTTATGGTCAGCTCTGTGTAAGAATATCTGCCTTTGCGGTCAGGTCTGTTATCTAGGTTAATAATCAGCTCCTTGGCTTATCACAACCTGAACGGATTTGGATGAATTGATTGGAAAATATCCAGGCCTCACTTTGGCTTGGCATGGATTACCCTTGAGAAGTGGAACTCATGCTAGCAAAGTACCTTATTCCGAGTGGTGACATAATTAAGCTTCCAATGAACTGTCTTTGTCTCTATGTATCTTAATGTACACAATGGAATGTGGACGATGCATCTCTTTGACAATGGTTGCTAATATAATTCCAGGAGTGCAGAGGAAGTATGGCAGGACCAATGGTGGAACAAATGCCAAAGCAGCCCACAGGCCTACTGTGGAGCCTGGCAGAGAATTTGAATTTGCACCGTAGCTTATCCTGTTTTGGTGTAAAAGGTGGTAGGATGGTCTCTGCACGTGCTATAGATAGGCAGAGAGGGGAAGCAAAGTGTGTGGTTAGTATACTGACTGACACTTCCTAATCCTTCCTTTATGCTGTAAGCATGCCGTGATCCTGACATTCAGCATGCCAGGTTAAGGAGGTACGCACTGCCCTATGTATGAGCTTTTGGACAGAGGGGGGCTAGTACAGGTTCTGGGGTCTTTAAAGTCTTCTACATTACTGACAACCACCTGAAAGTATCTGTATATTGTGTTTTTCTTGTACAATTTATTTTAAAGGAAATACAAGAGCAGAACAATAAAAAAAAAGAATATGTCATTTATGTGAATATATTAGTATTACAATAGATGATTCTGTTTCTCTAGTTTAGGGAATTTCTTAAAATTATAGCTTACAGCAGATAAAATACATTTAATTTGTTTATCATTAGATTCTTTATATACTTTTGGAAAGATTATATAATACTTTTCCTAAATGAAGAGTAAGATTGGCTGTAGCCATGTATTATTATTATTATGACATTCTATTTAATAATTGTAAGAATAATCAAATAATTGTATTATTTTTGCACAGATCTGTGCTCTGGGAGGACTGCTAAAGTTTATTGACCGTCACCGGATTGGTGTTCAGCTGGAGGACAGCAGTGTGGGTGTCCCAGTCCTGAGCCTCAGAAAATATGTCTTGTACGTTCTAGTTTATTTGTATTTAGTACTTTCTCTTCGTCTTTTTGTTGGCCTTTTACTTTGCAGCATTGCCAAGGTGTACTATATGCTCAAGGTTCATTAACTGATTGTTTTTTTTACTTAACCCAAAAAGATCCAGCCCAAGGTCCAATTTAATCTGAGGGTAGGAGAATCAGGGCCTGTAACATTATACTGTATGTTATTCTCTTGCCGTTTAGCGCTAACACATATGTACACTGTTTGTTCTTCTAGGGCTGATATCGTTGATATGGAACCAGATACTTTCAGGTAAAGTAGTTGATTCTGAAAAAAAAAAAGAGGCACTCCCTTATATTACTGTGTGGTATTGATGCAGAAACAAATTAGTCTGGGCCCCCAGGAGCTTTATGTACCACATACTTGCTTATTATGACACACTTTAACTAGTACATGTCTATATCTAGCGATGCGGCATCCATGCTCCCGCCACGCCATCTCTGTTACCATCTACTTCTGGATCAAGAGTCTTCTTCTTTCTCTATTGGCTAGACCAGTAAAATCCACTCATTCCCACTAGAATTTAGTTATGTATCTGTGGGGGGGAGTAGAGATTGGAGATGTGCTTTCTCACAGGGACTGAACTGATGGCATCTTTGTACTTGTTTTTCCTGGTCTGCACTCAGAACTGTAGGAATGGTGCAGGCATCCTTGGATCGGTGCACAGTGAGTGCAATGATCTGCTTTACATCTACCTCTATGTCCCTTAAGAAGACATCTCGACCTTTCAATTCGCCAGGCCAGAGCACATTCGCTCCCTGCACTTGTCATTACAGCCCTCCCTACCCCCAGGGGATGTAGGTTAAATCCACATAGAGCCTCACAACTAATTCTGGCTGCTGCAGAGTGGAGCAGGGGAAGCAGAAATGCACCAGCTTAGCAACTTGAAGAATGATGTTTGCTGGATGGGGGCATAGAGGAAAGTGCAATGCAGATCCTTATGCTTGCTGAGCCCTGATTTAGTGATGAAGTCTGTTAGTCCCATTTCTTGAGTTGTTTAATTTATGCTATATAATGGAGAAAACCACAGGATTGGGGACTGTTTTAGCAGAATGCAAGATGACCAAGAAGAGAGCCAGAGATAGAGATTTTAGTACGGTAGTTTACAAGAGATAAAAATATATTGGAGACTCAGCCCACTAAAGTCCACATACATTGAAATACCACTTTTGGGTGGGTGCCCCTATAGGAAAAGCAGTTTGTGAAGTGTGAGAGTTTTGAGTATTCATTTCTGATATTTTGTCAGTGTTTTGCAGATATTCAAAAGTGAGGCCCATCCATCTGTGTATAAGATGAGCTCTGGAGGGAAGGAAGGGCTAAGCCTGTTTGGTATGAATATGTTGTAAACACCACGCACCTTTTTAGTTTATTATTTCAAACAAATACTATCATAAAGTCATGTTTGAGTATCCATTAAAAGTTCATTAATGGATGTAAAGTGACCTGTACCTGATTCCACACATTGATGCAATAATTGGCAGCACTATATTACAAGAGGAGCATGTCTAGCTTTTCTATAGGATGCAATAAAGCGGCAATATGTTTTGGTTTCCTGTTTTTTCCCTACATCCTGAAACATGCAGCGCCTGTGCTTCCCCATCCTTATGACAGAATGACAGTTTAACTCAATTGGGAAACCTGTCTTTTGGAAAATCTGATGCCCCCATTACTTCAGGAGGCCGAGTTACAAGACATTATGACCGCTGTAAGTGCAATTTTCATCTAAAGGAGTGCTGGAGATGCTGTAGGATAGAAAACACCACTTGTCTAGTAGTTTCATGTTTGGTAGTTGGCCAAACATTAATCAAATTTCAGCCGGTTCCTGCTGAATCATCCAAAATTCGATCTGTGGCTGGCCTTGCCGACACCACCTAGTTCTAGTCAATTTTTTGTTAAACATTTGTTGAAGGAGCTGGGAGGAAACTTGTCGGCCAATCAGTGACTGTAGCCAACCAGTCACGGGCACAGGCTATCAGAATACAATAGTCGGGAGAAGAAATTCCATCCACGTTCTTGGGGGGAATCATGTTACAATGTTTAGCCAGTCATAAATCTATTCTGCTAAATCTGATGGAGAAATCAGAAACATTAACAGAGTTATTCACAAAAGGGTGAAGAGTTTGGGGAAGCCAGAGAAGGGAACAATCTAGGACAACATAGATGATTAGGAAAAATTCTCCAATTCAGCTCACTTTCCAGTTCAGCTATGTTGTCCTAGATTGTTCCCTTCTCTGGCTTCCCCAAACTGTCTTCACCCTTTTGTGAATAACCCTGCTATAGTTTTTTTAGTGTTGGAGTGTTTATATTGTTTTCTTAGTTATACTTAAACATTTTGATGTAATGATTTAGGGCTTTTGAATCGCTGCCAGTCCAAATGGGGAGAGAGCTGTATGAGGTGTGTAAAATAGACATTCCCACCTTTAAAATCATTGTATGTATTTACTTCTGAAAGTGCACACACATGTATTTATTATGACTTGTTCCATGACTTGTCCCATCTGTGATAGATTGTGGTTTATGAGGCCCACGCACAATCAGACTGAGCTAACATCTCGGCTTGATGTGATCGAGTTCTTCATGGCACCCAGAAACCAAGAAACAACAGGGAACCTTCAGGGCTGCCTGAAGAACATCAAAAATATCCCTGTGAGTTTTCAAATTGTTGTTCGTTCTTGTTTTTCTGCTAATTTGTTCTTACCTTTTTTTTTTACACACAATTCCAGCTTTGGCCAAAGATAATATTTGATAATTGGACAGGGGCTAAAAACAAAAGAAGCAAATTTGGCTGTTATACTTACCTAATCTCCAGCACTGGCCCCTAATGTAGCTAGTCTGCAGGGGAGAGCGGTGCTCCTTTTCTGTGTTGAATGATGCCCTGTAATTTAAACCAGCACCATTGCAAGGCTTCATCTTTAAAAGAGAACTATGGGGTAACCTTTTTATACCATAGTTCTCTCAAGGGTCACGGGAGGACATATACCAATGTCCTTTCGTGAACGAAAGCTCAGCTCACTATATACTGAGAGTGACCCAGCCAAGATGGATCCCGACAATACTGTTGAGATCCACCCAGCTGGCTCTGAAAGATGATCGTTAGTGAGCAAGCGACTGTATGTGTTTGCTCACTTCCCGATGAATAGAGCCGACGTGCGACCGTTTCATTGTCATACGTCGGCTCTAACTATGAGGACGAGTGTAATTCACTCACCTCATAGTTCTCCTTTTTAAGTACTTTTATCACTGCTGTTTTCCTATTATAGAGATTTTGTCACTGCATAATTAGGTGATAATCAAGGATGTAACTATAGCCATAGCAGACCACATGACTGCTATAGGGCTCAAGAGCGCAAAAGGCTCAAAACTATCTAGCTACATAATAATTGATGCAGGTAGCATTAGGATTTAGCAAATGGGCTTGGATAAAATAGATGGATATATCATTTGAGAACTTCTATATGAATGCTATGAAAGCAATTAGTATTCGGTATCTCTAGCAGCATTCTAGACTTCCTGTTCCCATTTCCTTGATTCATCCCCTTTAATGTTGCGAAATACAAGACTTACCTTTTATCTATCAGGATAGTATAATATTTAATACAGAGCGGCATCTCATTATGAATAGGCATTAAAAATGTTAACATGCCTTTCAAGATGACATCTGCCCTGTTTTTGATTTTCCTTTCATCTTTGTCTCCTTAATCCTAACTGATAAAATATTCAGTATTTTCCTTTGCTTCATCAGATGATCCTAAAGCGCATGACACTCTCCAGCACCAAAGTGTCCGACTGGCAGGCTTTATATAAGGTCAGTTTGTGCCCTCTGCTGGTTAAAATCTAAGATTACCACTAGAATGATTTCACAGAATACAAAACATGTTCACCAGTGACCCACACTTACAGGGTTATTCACAAAAGGGTGAAGAGTTTGGAGAAGGCCGGAGAAGGGAACAATCTAGGACAACATAGCTGAACTGGAGAAATTCTCCAATTCGGCTCACTTTCCAGTTCACCTATGTTGTCCTAGATTGTTCACTTCTCCTGCCTTCTCCAAACCCTTCACCCTTTTGTGAATAACCCTATTAATGTAAGTAATGTTTTGCCCTTTTAATTGAACAAGATCTCATCTTCTTGTAATGAGATTAGATGATACAATGCAAACCATTCCTGTAAACCTATCTTTCCACCTATATTATATAAGCCAAGTTGTATCATGCTTTGTAGTGGTCATCTGTGCAATATATGTCAGGCATGGCTTCTGTGGTTCAGGGCTTGTAGAGGTTTAATGTACTATAATCCGACATATAATGGTGCGGTGGCCATAAGGGACCAAGAAGCTCTCTGCTGAAGCACTATGAAGTGCACATTGTCTGTCTAAAATAGAAAACATTTACATGTTGTCACTTCCATCCCATATCCTAAAAATAATGATTTGCATAGTTGCTTTGAAAAAGAGGAACATATCATTTTACTTGGAGTATAATTAAAGTCTCTGTGGTTTTTTTTTTTGCATATATTTTCTGCTGGCAAGCAGTAGATATATGCAAAAACATAAAAAAAATTAAAAAGTTACCAATAAGGTAATTACTTACCTGTGTCTTCGCCGCTCGCTCTCGCCTGAAGATCTGAAAAATTCTCGAGCGGCGGTGCGCATGCGCATTAGAGATCTTCGGCCAGGAGAAGAGGAGAGACACGGGGTAAGTCAATGCAGGCAGCATGGATGGGACACAGAAGACACAGCAGTCAGTGCTGGATCAGTGACCAGCAGCAGCAGCATGGGGGGGGGGGGGGAACTGGGACCCTAATGTCACTTTAATTTCTCATGGGAGCAATTAAAGCCCAACTCTGTCTGTGCTCCTCCTACAAGTGACCCCCCCCCTCCCCCCAGGCCCCTCCAGTGTGTATCTTATACTTTTTTGGTATCCAAATGAATGTAATATAGTGCATAAAAACTTGCCCCTTCTGTGATTATATCAATACCACTGCAAACTGAGCAAATACAAACAATATATATAAAAAACCCCAATAACAGTTAAACAAAGTTTAACCATCTAACTAACAAATAACTAAGTTGTGCAACAGTGTAGTTCAGAAACAGTAACAGTAAACGTCCGACTCTTACAAGTGCAAAAATCTGTATTTGTTGCCCATTGAAGGAATTCTGACTAATAAATGCTGCTGCCTACAGGAGGTTTGGACACAGAAAAACAGAAATAATTATTGAAGCACTGCCCCTGTAAAACCGCCCCTCCAATTGCAATGTCTCGGTTTTTTGCTAGTGTCCTAAGATTTTGAATGCCTGCAAAAAAAGCGTAACTTTTTAAAATGACACTAATGTATCTTCAGAAACAGCTTTAGGCCGTACCTGCCCTTCAGGGGCACTTGTAGTTGGTAAGGGCATGGGACCTTGTGTTTGATCTAGTACATTTCCTGGCATCCCCATTGTTGGACGCTTAGGCCTTACTTGAAGGGGATCGTTTTTTTGGGACTCGAATAGCCAGAATGCTCTCAAAGGACTCAACCTCTGCAAGTTTCCACCAGTTAAGAATATTTAACGGTGGCTATGGTTCACCAATGAGCAAGGCTGACCAGCTTAGATGCTCACTGAAGCTCTCTGAACCCTCTGTGTTAGTGGAATTTTGCTTAACAGTAACAGTACTTCTTCTTTCCATTTAGGAGCTAGTGGGGTACTGGGGAATTCCACTCTTTACATCGCCTCTTGTTGACCATTGCATTATCACAAATAATCCTTAGCATTCTGCTTCTTTTAACAAACAAGTGCAACACATGTGCATTCTTCCAGCACTGACTCCTTTTGCAGCTTTCGGCGTTCAGTTGGATAACATTTCAGAGCCACAAAGGAAGCCAGTGCTGGGAAATGTCCCTCTGCCTGTGATTACAAGACTAAAGAGAGAGCAGATAGATAGTTAATTTTCAGTTACTGAAGATCCCAATCTGACTGAGGTATGGATTGGAGAATATCACCATTCAGGGTCACCAGCCCGATTATTATTTGTATTAGCGCACGGGGCAAATGCCCAGTTCTCGCCTGCTCTACTTTTTGGGGATTTTTATCTACTTAGCTAAATATGATTATGTAGGGGAAATTTCATGTTTACAGGAGATCTGGTGGACTGAAAGACTTTATGGATTGTGTTATTATATATTGCTGATTGGGTAGAGAAAGCCTTTTGCATACATTACCAACTATTTGAAGTAGCAAGAAAATCACCTGACAAGCACCTGAAAATTGGATGTACATGGCCGCTGGAGAATATATCTTTTATCAAACTTTTATTCACTTAGAAACCAGTATCTGTATGTATCCAGTGTTTTATATCTTCCATTTTCTTCTCCCCGCAGACAGTATACAACGCTGTGTGTATTGGTGACATCTGCAGCTCTTTGCCTAAGACTGTGCTTCTCTTTTCCCGCATCTCTTCTGCATTCAGCAGTGACCTGAACTACATAGCCAGTCTAATCAACAAAGTGGTTAGTACAGTGAAAAAGTACTTCTCAATATCAGCAATGCTGGTCAGGGAACATTAGTTTTGTTTATTGGACTACAGTGCAAGGGCGTGTAGAACCGCTGGTGCTAGAGCGTAGTGGTCCGGCTCTCCAGCTTGCTGCTGGCACAGGGCAGCTTCATACTTTGTTAAGCAACAAAGACCTAATAAAAAAATAAAAATAAAACATTGCCATATTCTTTACTGACTGTATAGTGTGACGTTTGGGGAAATTAGCACAAATGGTGAGTGCTTAAGGACCAGTCTTGAAGCCGTTGAAACATAAAAAGGAGTCTTTTATTTTCCACCATAACAGAACAGAGCTTTACTTCAGCAAAATAATATATCGCCTGGTTTGTTTCAGCCAGTAAGTAACATCACAACATCTCACCAACTCAGGATTGTCAACTATCCTGCATGTGACTCTTCCACAAGTCCCTTGTGTGTCCCAGGCTCACTAAACCTCATTGGCTGATTCCTAGGTTCCTCCAGCACACACAAAGCCTCCTGGCTCCACTCTGGCTTCTGGGTGGACTCCGCCTGACTCCTGGACACAACCTGTCCCTCTTCCCAGCAGGAGCCCTCATGTGCCCACCACACCAACCCCTCTTCCTCTCTGTCCAGTGTCTTAATAAGGCTGTTATCAGCCACCTGGACAGTCTGGCCTGGCAATTGGCTGCACCTGGCCCCAGGACTGGAGATTTCCTCCCACCCAGAGCTCTAAGAAATCTCACGGCTCCAGGATCCCAACTATGAACCAGAAAACATGGAAAGGACTGAAAAGTCAGCTCTTTCCTGATACAAGCAATTGCTTCCTGGAGCCGCTCAGCACCTCTGGCTGAGAATCCTTGGTTACTTTGAGGCCACAGAACACCGTGGTATTGCCACACAATTCCACAATAGCAATTAAAAATAAGACTTCAGTTGGGCTTTAAGTGATGCCCTTTATTGGCTGGCTTAAGTTATTAAAGATGTAAGCTTTTGGCAGAGTACAAGCTCCAGACATGTAACCAGATAAACAAAGACAAGCAGTCCATAGAAAAAACTGTTATGTTATTGCCTTTCATTGGAGAATAAAACAGATTTATATAAAAGCGTCTGGTCACCCCAATGCCTAAATAATGTAATAAAAGTGTGAAATGCTTCTTCTTAAAACTCTCTTGACCTATAATCTCTGTATTCATTGTTGCTCTTTCTCTTCCCTGTTCTCTCTCACCCAGATCTGTTTTGAAGAAAGCCTGAGAGAGAAACGTTTCTGCATTAAACCATTTGTAGACCCAGCTGTGGATGAGAGTGAGTGACAGATATACAGACTTCTCAGAAGCAGTTTTAAAGTTGCTTTCTCAATGGAACTTGATTTACTGTAAAAATAATCATAGACTTTCAGCAGTCTATTTATAAACAATTTGCAGGGCAATTCACCCTGCAAATACCTGTGAACGTTCCTCCTGTGTGAATATGTCAGGACCAGCTGTGGACGCACACCATCAGAGCAAACAGTGACGAGTTGTTTCACCTAAAGCAGACGCCGTTCCCATAAGGCAAGCATGCCTACCTCTACTTGGATGCCCCCAGGACTTAAACTATTTGCTCTGATTGGGTGATGCCACAGGCTGGCCCCAGGTGCTGAACTGAGGTACGGACAGAAGGATAAAGACACTACCAGAGAGTGTCTGGCAAAGGTAATCCGGGCACAGGCTATGGTCAGGGCGGGTGGCTGGCAAAGGGTAATCGGGGCACAAGCTGAGGTCATGGCAGGCAGAAGGAAAAGCATAATCCAGGGAGGGGCCAAGGTCAAAACCGTAGACAAACAAGATTTCCAGAGACAGGATTTGCAGAGACCGAGCACAGCTTGTATAGCAAGAACTATCACAAAAACTGGGGAACAGGCTGATGATGCTTATATAGGGAGTCACCGAGGCCAGTTCCAGAGCTGGAAGTGTGTGGGTAATTTCATTAAGCCACAGCTGACTAGACTAGTGCTGCAGCCAGCAAGACACATGATAATTAACCCACACCAGTCAGGGCTGCAGCCAACAATACAGGCTGCCTGAAAGAATAAAGGCAAACACGAATATTCTTAGTATGTCATTTTAGGTTGAATGTAATTTAATGTAATGCTGCATTATGGCCACTAGATGGAGCTAAGGAGCATAGGTAATACGTGTTTATTTCATATGCTCCTCAGCTTCTTCTAGTGGCCACAATGTGGTATTACATTACATTTGACCTGAAAAGAAAATATAAGAAGAGCATTTCTTTTTGCCTTTATTCACACAGAACAAATATATTTTTCCCAGATATTTTTAGGGCAAATGGCTCTGCAAATTGTTTATAAATAGATCCAAAAGTGTTTGTAAACTCTAACAATGAACTCGTATTTGCTACCTTTTTTTCTGTTACATATACCATTAAAAGTGTTCTGTTGTATCTGTTAGTTAGATGCACAAAAATGCTTGTTGATAAGGTCAGAAATTCTGAGCGGCCTTGTGCTATCTCAAGGAGTCTAATTAGTCATCCTAGTTCTTATCTTGGATTACAGAACAATTAGAGGCAGGGTTATTTATTTAACTAAGATATGTTTCCTTTATCAAAGTAAACTCTTTTTAAAATCTGGGATTGAATACCAAGATGTTATGAACAATCATCTAGTCCTAACTAACAGGGTAATTCACTGAAGGGTGGAGGGTTTGGAGAAGGAAGGAGAAGAGAACAATCTAGGCCAAAGTAGCGGATTAGGAAAAAATATCCAATTCAGCTCACTTTCCAGTTCCGCTATTTTGGCCTAGATTGTTCCCTTCTCCTGCCTTCTCCAAACTCTTCACCCTTTTGTGAATAACACTGTTAGAATACTTGCATTAGATAAAGTGACCTTAGTCTTTTTTTTTTAATTTGAAAATAATAGACATGGATAAGATTTTTTAAGATTACAAAATCAGAAAGAGCCAATTCAGACCTGTCCATTCTGGTGCACTGCAATAACGCGTGCCTGATAACACAAGTTCATTAAGGCAGTCCATTCCAGCGTATGGACTGTCAACACACCAGAACTGACCAAAAACCTCCCATCTGTTTTTTTGTTTTGTTTTAAAAGCTGCACACCAGAAGACAGGGTAGTGTGTAACCCTGCACTGCGTGTATGTGTGGTGCAATGCAGTGCATGTGCTTTGTAGGTCTGTTGGATGAATGCATTGGGGTGCCATTGGCAACAAATGGCACCACAACATGCCTCAACACGTGCATTCATGCAATGCACTGGAGAGGTCTGAATGGGCCATGTTTCAGTAGTGATCCCATCGCTGGCCAGTGACAGGCTCTCTATACAGGAGTAAACAAGGTAGAACAATACTTACCTACTTCCAGGTATCACTCCTTTTCCAGATGAACTAGCGAGATGTCACTCCCTCACTGCTTACCCACAATCTACATCATTTCTGTCAGCAAGGGAGCGACACATGATGCAGTAAGTAAGTATTCAGTAATCTGGTCTCGGCAGAGTGCCTGCTAGGCCAGTGGAAAAATGCTTTGTTTTGGTAGATTTTTGTTGGGTGGGTTGATTGGTTGTCTTTTCTTTCTACTTTTTTGGCTATATTGTATTGTAAACTTAGGTTTATAAAAGATGAGCTCACTACCCAGTTTATATCCTTCTGTGACAGAGAAATGCCGCCTCCAAGGACTCTCAGATTTTCTCACTGATATCGCTAGGAAAGAACTGGAGACTTTAGACATGAAGATACCATCATGTAGTGTCATCTACATCCCCCTGGTGAGAAAAATCCAGGGACAAACACAAAAAAAAATAGAGAAACAAAAAAATCAATATGTATAAATTGGTAGTAGTAGTTTAATCATATTTAATTGAACGCGTTCTGTAATTTATCAGATTTTTATCACTCATCCAAATGACTTACTCAAATAAGTGTCAGGAGCATACGCCATTTATAGCCACACTGCTAACTCATTTACCTTAATTCATTCATTGAATTTTTATGGAATGTGTCAGGGAAGATGTTGAAGGAAACATTTACAGGGTTATTCACAAAAGGGTGAAGAGTTTGGAGAAGGCAGGAGAAGTGAACAATCTAGGTCAAAATAGATGATTTTGAGAAATTCTCCAATTCAGCTCACTTTCAAGTTCAGCAAAGTTGGCCTAGATTGTTCACTTCTCCTGTCTTCTCCAAACTCTTCACCGTTCTGTGAATAACCCTCTTAAAAACAATTCTGTTTGTCATTGGCAACAATTCCATGTTTCTTTTGTCAATGTTCATTCAGCTCTGCTGGATCTGATCTAAATTTCTTTTATTTTTATCCACACGCTGACATCTACTGGATAGAATGTATATTGCACCACACAAATAGCCAAAAATGCAGCAGAACCCTAAAGAGACCCTGTTCCCAGATTTATTCCAGCACCATCCTTCCCATAAGATGATATGCATGTTATTTACTTGTAAAAGCCTCCATTGTGCAGACATCCAAAACCCCTGGGACTGCTGCTGGGTACTGTCTTTCGGATGTGAAATTAGAAGCCCCAGTGGACTCAGAGCTGTTCCTCTTCACACCTCCACCCGGCTGTTAGATAAAAGGTTAAAAAGGGAAGTTAGGGGAGTGGTTGAGATGCTGGGCCAGCACAGACAGTAATTAGACACTTCCAGATGAGGAGAGGACTATGATGTGCAGGGAGGGAGGGAGTTGTCCTAGGGAACTGACACTTTCTGGAGTGTCAATTCCCTAGCAATTATAGAGGCACTTAGCAAGTCAATAAAAAAGAATTAATGGAAAGGGAACCACTGCAAGCAAGCAGTTAAAGTACTTGTGTGCTTTTACATGACATTTTTTAAAATTTGGTCACAGGGTCGCTTTAAGTTGGTCAAAGGCCCACCTGAACCCTACATCTAATTATGCAGGGACCACCCACTCATGGCTCCTGATAATTGCACACATGCCTAATTGAGTTACTGAACATGAGCAGTAACGCAAATAAGGGTGACACAGTAATTCTGGGACATCGCCCAGGATACAGCATCATCGGAACTGAGGTCCAAGATGCAGTATTGTCCTGGCAGAATGGACAGTTGGCATCTATGAGGTTTGCGGCATTCACATCCACATTTCTAAAACAGGAAACCATAGAACTCACCTCGGCCTCCACTTGCACATGACTGTTTTCAGTTTATTCATTGTCAGTACACTTTATAGAACTGTCTATCCTGTCCTTTTTGGCTTGGACAGCAACAGTACTAGACGCGACACCGCTGGCCACACCAATAAGACATGTTTGGGAAAGGACTGACAGCAGTGATATGGTCAGTGATTGGGGTGATGATAGGAAGCAGAACACTTGTGTCACCATTCATTAGCACCATAACCAATACAGCTACAATGCATATAGAATTGCCTGATGTAGTCAATGTGACGGTGTAGCCAGGGGGCAGTTCTGTGACTGCTGCAAATACTTGAAGAAGCCAGGCAAGAGAAGCAAGTCACTAGGGCTGCACTTTCTCAGTTCAGAGGACTGGGACCACATGAAGAGATGAGCTGTGTCTTAAAGTTTAGCTTTAGGATTATTAGAAGGCCAGTTGTAAAATCATCTTTTTGTGGATGGATTTTTGTTTCCTTTTTGATCACCTCAGCATAACTGTCATAGATATTGTCTACCAATGTATCCAGAAAGACTCTGCAAGTATTGGTGCTGCTGCATCCAAAGTACTGGAGAGCAATATGCCTGTCAGGCACACTAAGGCACACTGTGATGTGTAGTTTCACTTGTATATGTGAGAGCAGGTCCACTTGTATTTGTTGGATTATTCACCTTTCTGTGAAATGATTTATAAACCCCTCTAGATTGGGTTCCTCTTGTCCATTGACCGTCTCGACTTCATGAAGGATAAAAGTGACTTTGAGATTGAAGGTTTGGAATTTGTGGTAAGAAATATACAGTCTTCTACCTACCTCTGCCAACTCCTATATGAATAAAGTAACTCACCTTGTAATACCATGTGTGGTGGTGCAGAATATCTTCCAACTTAGACTCACTTGTTTCTGTGTAGTGATGAGGTTGGGTTTTGTGTGAACCCAGTTCACCTGAGTTTGCCCTGCTCAAAACTGTGACTGCCTCCTCCTCCTACCAACCCAATCAGTGGGGGAGAGGCGTATTCCCTGCCCCCTAGTTATACACCACAAAGGGGCACAGCATGACCCCTGCCGCTACTGCCACCACTGATCGGGCCAGGAGGGGAGAGTGGCGGTCACAGTTATGAGTGTGCTTGGGCTTAGGCAAACTGGGATTGTGTTACTCCAGGGGTACATGGGAGATAGCTTAGAAGGCATGTACGGGAATAGGTAGTGATGCGAAAATTGTCTTGTTTCTTTTCCCAGAAATTGTGAAAGACACCTGTCTACTCTTGTCCACATTTTAGACATTTGTAACATTCCTGCTGGGCTTTTTAGTTGTGTTATATTCTGGAGAATACAACAGCACCAAAATCTCCAAAGTGGACAAAAACAAAGCTAGGAAAAAGGGCAGAAAGGTCTAGCTGTTGGAGTATTCAGGAAACCAGAGGTTGACCCCTAAATAGCTAATGTTTTTGAACAGTTTCTAGCAGAAGGTAGACTCCACTACAGAAGTGCACGGACCAAAGAGCTGGATGCAGTGCTTGGAGACCTTCACTTTGAGATCAGAGGTGAGATGGAAAACATTAGGTCAGGTAGGCCTGTGCGTACGGTGGCAAATGAAAGAGAGGAACTGTATAATAAAACTTTGCCATAACTATGTACATCTGCAATTCCTTTCATTATCACACAATATGCAATGATTACATTACATCTGCTTCATACATGCACATTTATTGATATGATACCCGTTGATTTGCTAGAAATTAGGAATGTAACAATGCTGTTTTTTTGGTATTGAGTACGAGTACCAATATTTCGGTACTCATTGATACCGATACGGCTATTCCCGCTAGCATGGAGCTGGCTTCCCGGCCAATCAGGAAGCTGGGAGGCAAGTCATTACCCACCGCCCGGCTTTCTGATTGGCCAGGAAGCTGGCTCCATGCTATTTGGCCGGCTCGATGCTGATTGGCCGGGAAGTCATTACCCGCCGCCCGGCTTCCTAATTTGACCTGCTTCAGGCAGGTTTTAGACTCCCATAGGCTTGTATGCGATTGCAAAACCCATCTGATGAGGACCACAGGTCCTTTTCTGCATCGAAATCCCAGCCAGCTTTTCAGCCTTGGCTGCTGAACTATAGAACTTTTCCTGCACGCTCCCCTCTCAGTCCTAGTCCACACACATAGACACTGATTTATTTCCTAGCAAAACAATGCTGCCGACTCTCACAATTCTGCCCAAATACTTTGGAAAAAGTAAAGACTCTTGGGGGATGTAGTCCTGGGGACGTGCCTACGTCATTAGGAACTGAGCTCCCAGCAGCCGCCCTGCAAGAGCTTTACAAGTATGGTGATGATGTGATAGAGAGTAATAAAAGCTGTTTCTTGCTACAGGAACACGGTAGAAGAAAATAATAATGTTTGGAAATTATCTGGAGGGGGGAGGAGGTTTGTAGTTAAATCTGGGTAATCAAGTTAGCATTCATTTAATCATGCCGGATGTCAATTGAAATCTAGAAGTCTTCTAGGGAGCTCTACAGCCACCCGGTCACATCACCATGCTGATAGTCTACTCCACTGTTTTACATAAAGGTAATATAGAGAAGTTTTCCTTAAAAGTGAAGTGATTTTTAAAAATTTCTTTGGATTTTGTCATTTTTTTTGGCCATTTTGTAAACTTTTCTACCTTTTTTTTTTCCTCTCCACTTCCTAATATCAACTTTGCAGAGGTTTATAAATTGTGAAAACATTAGCAATGACTTAGGATGAAGTAAAAGCACATATTTATAAAAACGGCCCAAAAAGAAAAAGCCTAAAGTGATGGAATTAAAAGATATTGATAAAAAAGATTGAATGAAATAATACGTCTGCTCACCTACACAGACCACGAGACCATGATCATGCATCAGCTGCAGACATTGATTCTGGACCGGTCGGCCGTCTTACACAAGGTCACTGAGTATGTTGGGCAGCTAGACGCACTACTTGCCATGGCAGTTGTTGCCCGTGAAAATGGATATGTCCGCCCCTGCTACACCCAGAAGAACATTATAACCATAAAGGAAGGCAGGTGAGGAGAAGAGGTCATGTTCTGTGATGGTTTATGTGACATACGTTTTAAAGGGGTAGAAAAAAAAAGTACAATACAAGAACAATAATATTTCTAGATAAATATTCAGCTGATTCAGAATTGAAGATAATAGTTAATATAGTTATGATTGGGAAATTGATCTTTGGATTAAATGTCCCAGAACACTGTTGTTTCCCCCAGATAACACCAGGGGTACCAGAACATGTTCAGCTTGAATGATTGTTATTGGAAGACCAAGAACTTACAGCAGCCACATCTTCACAACCTCATGTCTATGACTAACTAGCCTTAGCCCAAATCATGATACAGTATGTCCAGGTTGAGTATGCTTGTAGTAGGTTCAGACATCCCAACTCTCCCGAACGCTCCCGCTATTAGGCCCCATTCACACTGAGCGATTTATCGAGCGATTTTTGCAGCGATATCGCTCATATTTCCACGCGATATCGCTCTATGTAGCTTCTCCAATCCATTTAAATGGAGCTGTTCACATCCCGTCGCTCAATATAGCTCAATATCGCTTGTAGCTCCTACATGACCCTTTTTTTCGAGCGATTTCAATCGATTTTGCTCCTGATTGCATACAGCCCAATAGGAAAAAGTTACGCGACAAGTCGCTCAATATCGCTCATATAAAATAGCGCGGAAAATCGTGTGAATGGGGGCCTTAGGCCCCATTCACACTGAGCGATTCGCAAATCACGCGTCTGTTGCGCGATTTGCATTTTGCGCACGCGCGATATCGTGCAAATGCTTGCATTGAGCAAGCTAGAATCGCGGCAAAATCCGCTCCAAAAAGGGTCCTGTTGTAGCGACGCACGACCCGCGACAGCGAAGGACAGAGCCCCATTGAGATGCATTGGAGAGCGATATCGCGCGGTAAATAGCCGCGATATCGCGGGAATTACCGCGCGATAAATCGCTCAGTGTGAACGGAGCCATAGATAGCGGCTCCTGGCCGCCCGGGAGAAAAACATTTCCTCCTGGAAAGGTTTACTCTGCTTGATCTAGCTTTCCCTGCTGTCTTTTTTCTTTTTTTCTCTGACATCAGGGCCGCTGGCCACCGCCTGTCAGAAAAAAAAAAAAAAAAACCAGCATAAAAATGAATAGCTAGATTGCTATTGGCTATTTCAATTTGCAATAGCAGACTAGCTATTGCACCCACCCACCCACTGCTGCTGTCAATCACCAGAGGTGGACCTGAAGTTCTCCATCAGGGCCTCTTCTGCTGATTGACAGCAGCAGAGGGCAGGTGCAATAGCCAGCTTGCTATTGCAATTTGAAATAGCCAATAGCAATCTAGCTATTCATTTCTATGCTGGTTTTTTTTATTCTGACGGCAGCATCGGTCGCTTTTTTCAGGTTGGGATCCCTGTAGGTTTGGGTTATACAGTGCAAAATATCAAGCCAAGCATTACACTGAGGCTTAAAGTGGAATGGACATAATACATATGTTTTTGTCACAGCCTCCTCCCCTTCTATGACAGATGCAGTTGAAAACCAATAAAGCACACCTCACACCACTAAGCAACATTCACCAAGACCTAGTGATATCTTTGAGACTTGAGACAATAATTTGTGCATACTCAACTCTGCAATAATGAAAACCCATAAATCTGTACCATAGCCCTGATTTTCCTTTTAGATTTGACAGGAAGTAACTGTGTAGATAAACATCTTTTCTTTTTCCTTAAAGATGTCAGCAAGAGGGGTGTGCATGTCCATACACACACGCATTTCTTTCTATGGTTCTGTGGGTTTTGTAACGTTTGTTCAATATTGTAAAAGTTCATGGGGTCAAATCATCAATCGATTTTGACCATAGTGATCAAAACAAAATCAAAGCCGGATGGAATTTTATTTCAAACCGAGTTCTAACAGTAAATGTGACTTTAATTTAGGAAGCTCCATACTGCGGGTGTGCCCCTGTTAGAATACCTGAACAGGTTATGGCTATTAATATTATAATTATTCTTATACAAGATTTATATAGTGCTAACAATTTGCATAACGTTTTATAAAAAAAAGGAAGACAATACAGTTACAAAACAATTCAATACAGGAGGGTTTGGAGGTTTCTGCTACATATTGATCAGCACTGTATTTACTGTTTATTAGTTTGTTGAAGCACATGCAATTATTATACTGCACAATGACACGTTGTTTTATAAGAAAACATCTAAACATTATTCTTAATGCTCTAGGAGTCAGGTACATGCCGCTTACACTAGAATGTTCTCATTATCTCACTTTTCTTCTCTTCCTCCCTCTTGGTCTCTTTCAGACACCCCATAATGGTATTCTGCACTGGAACTTTTGTTCCAAATCCAGCTCAGACTTGTGAGAAAGAAAAGAGAATAAAAATCCTGACTGGACCTAACTCGTGTGGAAAAAGTGTTTATCTCAAACAGGTAAAAGGCAATGGTAGGGAAGTATAATTAATAAGGAAAGGTTGGTCATATAAAAGTATGTCAGTAGCTTAGTAAGCCTAGTTGGTTGCTTTTGACTGTTTACCTACTTCCACCGTTTCCCCGAATATAAGACCTACCCCGAAAATAAGACCTAGCACTATTTTTGGGAATTGCTAAAATATAAGACCTACCCCGAAAATAAGACCTAGTTGTGACCATTTCCAGGGCCGGTGGTGGCATAAAGGGGAACTTGAAGAGCCGTGGGAGGGACGGGAGAAAATCAGCGGTGCCAACGAAGCCAGCTCTAAAGGAAGCGAGGCGACACCGGAGGGAGCAGAGCCGCAAACACCAATGCTTTCTCTATAGCGCCGGCTCCTGTCACAGGCGGAGTGATACCAAATGCACTCAACCTGTGAGGAATCGATAGTGAAAGTGCGCTTCGCTCATTCTGGCCAGCAATTGGTTACAAAATTGCTCTTGGAAAGGGTACGGCACCCTTGATTGCCCTGATCCCCCTATTCTTAACTTTGCCATTTTGGATTATTTCATTTGGATTTGCATTAACTTTGGATTGTTGTACATAAAACAAATAAGACCTAGTGTGTTTTTTTGAGCCAAAAAAATATAAGACAGCGTCTTATTTTCGGGGAAACACGGTATATCCCAGTTACTCATCTTACAGCCCACTTCTGGGCAAAGAAAAAACTTAACCTTGCAGTAGGGCAACCCCCACACTGCTGGAGTTAGGTGCTCGATTTTCTTAGGTGACGCAAGTAAAGCTGGTGCTGGCTCCTGTGGCAGTCAGCACTCACTACTTCTTCCCCTCTGCTCTTGATGTTGGAATGTGCTCTGACATCCTCACGTCTAGTGATGACGTCATTGGTCCTTAGATTACCGGAGTGAAGGGGAGAAGAGGCTGCCTGGATCAGATGGTGGGAGCAGGAATCAGGTAAGTAAAACAGTAATAATAGTGTCCACTAGACATCAAGAAGCACTCTACCATTGCAGTAGTCCCACTGCAAGGGTAAGTTTTTTTTTTTGCCCAGAGATGGGCTTTAATATGACCCTGTCAGGGCCATTACTGTGAAAGAAGACCATCTATACTTATTCTACTGGTGACCTGTGTCCTTAAACACGACCACTTCACTGCTTCATGGCCAAAACGATGATTGTAATCTACAATCTTTATTATACACTTCTTAGAATGGTCAGTCTTGTTATATGTCTATTGATAGACTGAGTGTTCGTAGCTCTTACCATATCTTTCTTCACTATCTTAGGTTGGCCTCATTGTCTTTATGGCTATGATTGGAAGCTATGTCCCAGCCTCCTATGCTGAGATCGGGCCCATTGATGGGATCTTTACACGGCTACAAACACGGGAATCTGTTTCTCTCGGTTTGTCCACTTTTATGATTGACTTAAATCAGGTGTGGATTTCTTGATTACATGTGAAACACTTCAGATAGAGGGTGCCCTCCTCTGACTCTTGTGCTGCACACTTGTTCAGGGTCAGTGAGGACATCTCAGTGAAGGGGAATAGGCTCAGAGTCGCTGTCCTGGAACAGGCACACAGTCCTGGAGCTGCAGAATATTGGAGCTTCCACCACAAGTATTTTGCATTATGGCAGATACCCCTTAATGTAAATATATTGTGCTTTTGTATGGGACCAGAATACTACAAACAAATGAGTTGTTGAGTACCTACACCATGCTTGGAGACTCCACTCACAATAATCATTGTGTACGCATCAGTCCAACATGCCCCATGCTGAGACAGACTATTAGCAATGCAGTTGACAAAGCTCATGCTGATTTGAGAGTTTTATCATTTTGTATAGATACACTTTAAGAGACGTATTAGTAGTGACCCAATCACTGCATACAAAATATGCCTCATGGAGTGAATGAGATAATACTTCATTCCAAATTTTATACTGATTTGGATTTAGTGGGCTACTGATAAGTGTTTGTCTCACTGTTATCATGTCCTTTGCCTGGGACTTAGTTCTTTTGCAGAGTGTCGTAGGGAGAAGCCCAGATGGGTTGTGCACTCGCCTCTTGTCAATAAAGTTTTAATACAGTATTATACTCTCAATTATCTTCACTTTACTTTCTCCATGCCTTTTGTCAATCCACGGGTAGCTCAGTCCATATTTGACACCTTTTCATTAATTCTAGGTGACGAGAGCAGTGAATAATGCAACAGTGAAGTCTCTTGTTTTAATTGATGAATTTGGAAAAGGAACTAATACAGTAAGAAATATCTTTTACCAGTCCTGCCTTTCAATATTTTGAGCACAAGTGTTGTATGTCCCCGATCTTTCCTCTGTCACTTCTTTTTGAATATTTCCCTTCTCTACGAGAAAAAACAACATCCCCTTCTCAATGTTTCGGGCAAAGCGGACTACATTGCACTATTTTATTTTTTTATTAAAGGTATTTATATGGTGCCAACAATTTACACAGCGCTTTACATTCTGCACATTCACATCAGTCCCTGAGTTCAAGAAGCTTACAATCTAAGGTCCCTTTCTCATATGCATAGACACACATACTGGGGACAATTTAGAGAGGAGCCTATTAACCTACCAGCGTGTCTGTGGAGTGTGGGAGGAAACAGGACTATCCGGAGGAAACCCATGCAAGCACAGGAGAACATGAAAACTCCATGCAGGTAGTGTCCTGACTGGGATGCGAATTGGGGACTCCCAGTACCATAATGCATCTCTGGTGGGATTGCTTTAAGATTAAAATATATTGGACAAAAACATATTCCCCTATTTAATCAGTCACCAATATACATGCTACGAAAACATCTAGTGTTGCCATCTTAAATGAGCCCATCCCAGGCATCCCATATATATTGTATATACTGCCAGCTGCCAAGGTATTTTATGAGAAATTATGGAAAACCTCATTGGTGGACATTCACTTCACTATTAACATGATCACGTGCATCATGATCTATAAAAAAAATAGCAAGTATTCTTAAGGATAGCAAAAAAGAATTTGAGGTGACTTGGGACCCCTGTTTACAATACCTCAATACTTAACAGTTTAGAGAGTTGAAAGCTGAAATGAGAAGATGACCCCCCCCCCCCCACACCCCCTTTCATAAACCTCTACACCCACATTCCCCTTATCTTCCTGTGTTTACCTTTATTTCCTTCAGCCAATTGATTCTTCATTCAATATGTAAATGTTAATCTACATTGTGAAGTATGATTTAACATGGCAATATACCAGAAGGTGGAAGGCACCATACTCGAGACCAGCTTTAAAGCTGGTTTACAGTGAAACGTGAATGGATACTGATAATGACAAATCTACACACAAAGTACTATTATTATGAAACTGTGTTGCATTTACTATGTTTATTCTTTCTCTCATGAAAATAATACAAATATTGAAACCGCAAGCAGAACTTTGAAAGAATATTGATGCATATTATGTGTATTTTCAGGTGGATGGGCTTTCTCTATTGGCTGCCATACTGAGACACTGGATCAATCAGGGGTCTTCTTGCCCTCATATTTTCCTGTCCACTAACTTTCACAGCTTGATACAGCTCGAGATACTCCCAAAAAATCTGAATGTCCACTATCAGGTGAGATAAATATAGACTATTAAAAGATCTTCTAACTAAAAGAGGGGGGCAGAGTCTCCCTTCTGTTATCTAACCTGCAGTGATCGCTGACTGTTTGTAAATAATTAGACATAGTATGACTTACTATGTACCAGTTATGAATGAATAGGAAGTTATCTACATCACTTCCTGATCATTCATAATTGTGTACATAGTAACTCATACTATCTCCACAAGTTATGAATGAACAGAAACACTCAGTACAGAGGCTTCCTCTTCATTTATAACATAGGCTGTAGAAAAAGAGATTGAGGACACTGTGTTACCGTAACACAATAGTTAGAATGGGCCCTCCGATGGTAACTCATGGTGTCACTCC